AGTTTTTTTCCATTTAGTATGATGTTGGCTGTTGGTTTGTCATAGACGGCTTTTATCAGAGTGAGGTAAAGATCATCTATTCTGATTTGCTGTATGGTTTTTATCATGAATGAGTGTTGCACTTTATCAAATGATTTTTCTGCATCTACTGAGATGATCATGTGATTTTTGTCTTTGGCTCTATTGACTAATTATTTGGCTCTATTAACTAATTTGCATATATTGAACCATCCCTGCATTCCTGGGATGAATCTCACTTGGTTGTGGTGTATAATCTTCTTGATGATTTGATGCATTCTGTTTGCTAATATTTTATTAAGAACTTCTGCATCTATGTTCATTAGGGAGATCAGCCTATAGTTCTCTTTTCTGATTGGGTCTTTCTCTGGTTTTGGTATCAGGGTAATACTTGCCTCCAGGAATGAGTTAGGGAGAATGCCTTCCCTTTCAATTTCATTAAAGAGTTTGAGAAGAATTTGCATTAAATCTCTAAATTTCTTGTAGAATTCAGCAGTGAGTCCATCAGGACCTGCACTTTTCTTTGTTGGTATTTTATTATATTTGCAATTTGGTTGGCTAATAGTGAGTTATTCAGGATTTTAATATCTTCTTGATTCAGCTTTGGTAATTCATATGTGTCCAGAAATCAGTACATTTCCACTATGTTTTCCATCCTATGAGAATAAAGATTTTCCAAGTAGGTATTTATGATCTTCTGAATTTCTACAGGATCTGCAGTGATTTCATCCTTTTCATTCCTTATTGCATGAATTTGAGTTTTTTCTTTCCTTTTTTTGATAAGGTTGGCTAGGAGTTTATCTATTTTGTTTACTCTTTCTTTTTTCTTTTTTGGTACCTGGGACTGAACTCAGGACCTTGTGCTTGCCAAGCAAGGCACTGTGCCACTGAGCTATATCCCCAGCCATATTCTTTCAAAGAACCAACTCTTGGATTCATTAATTCTTTGTATTGTTTTCTTAGTCTCCATTGTGTTAATTTCTGCTTTGATTTTTATAATTTCCTCACTTCTTTGGGATTTGGGCTTGACTTGCTCTTCTTTTTCAAGAAGCTAAATGTGTAGCATAAGGTTGTTTATTTGTGTTTGTTCTGTTTTCCTAATGTGGGAATTCACCACTGTAAGTTTCCCTCTAAGGACTGCTTTCATTGTGTCCCACAGGTTCTGGTAAGTTGTATCTGCATTTTCATTTGATTATAGATATTGTTTAATTTCTTCTTTAATTTTATCTGTGACCCATTGGTTGTTCAGGAGGATGTTATTTAATTTCCATGTGTTTATGGAGTTTTTGTGATTTCTTTTGTCAATAATTTGCATTTTCATTGCATGGGATAATTTCAATTCCCTTGCATTTACTTAAGCATATTCTATGGGTCAGCATATGTTCTATTTTAGAGAAAGTCCTGTGTGCAGCTGAGAAGAATGTGTATTCTGATGTTGCTGGGTGGAACACTCTGTAAAGGTCTACTAAATCCATTTGTTCACACATTCAGCTTAGTTCTGTTATTTCTTTGTTCATTTTCTGTCTAATTGAGCTACCTCTTTGTGACAATGGGGTGTTAAAGTCCCCTGTTATGACTGCATTAGTGCTTATTTGATTTTTTATGTCTTGTATAGTTTGTATGTCTTGTATAGTTGGGTGCTCCTGTATTTGGTGCATATATATTTATGATTGTTATCTCTTGCTCTTGCAGTTTTCCTCTAACAGCTATGTAGTGATTTTCTTCATCTCTTTTGATCATTCTTGGTTTGAAGTTCACATTGTCTGCAAACAGAATAGCTACCCCTGCTTTTTTCTGGGTTCCTGTCACATGGAGTATTGTTTTTCATCCTTTGACCTTCAGTCTATGAATTTCCTTTTGAGTTAAATGTGTTCCTTGTATACAGCATACTGTTGTATTTTGTTTCTTGATCCACTCTGCCACTCTGTTTCTTTTGATTGGTGAATTGAGGTCATTTACATTAATGGTTATAACTGATATGTATTGGCTTATCTTTGCCATGTTATTTTCCTGCTGTTGGTTCCCTACTTTTCCCCTCTGTTTAGTTGCTTGCTCTGTTTGGTGATTTCTTTCTATTGTTTTTCTTAAAGTTGTAGTCATTTTTATCTCTTTCTAGAATACCTTTCAATACTCTTTGTAGGATTGGTTTGGTGGTCATGGATTTCTTCAGTTGTAGAAGATTTCTTTTGTTGTAGAAGTATTTTATTTCTCCATTAATTTTGAAGCATAGTTTTGCAGGGTACATTAGTCTGGGTTGGAAGTTGTTTTCTTTCTGAACCTGAAATACTTCACTCCAAGCTTTTCTTGACTTGATGGTTTGTGTTGAGAAGTCTGCCATGATTCTGATGGGCTTTCCTCTATAGGTGATCAGTTTCTTTTCTCTAACAGCTTTTAATATTCTGTTCTTTTGCTGGGATCTTTATTATATATCTGGGTGTAGATTTATTTTGGTTATGACTAATTGGAGTTCTACATGCTTCATCTAACTGGATGTCAGATTCTTTTCATGCTTGGGATATTTCTGCTTTACTTTTGCAAAGAATCTTTCTATGTCATTTGTGTTTCAATGTCCTTGCTGTTTCAAATGTCCATCAACTGAGGAATGGATAAAAAAGATATGGTCTTTTTTATACAATGGAACACTACTTAGCCATAAAGAAGGATAAACTGGAGAGTTTTATAGGTAAATGCATGCAACTCAAGACCATACTCATAAGTGAAATAAACCAGATGCAAATATGTAAACATCATATTGTCTTACTAGTATGAGAAGCTGAATGAGTAAATGTGATCCAGAATGTACAATAGATATTGTGAATTGGGAAGAAACTGTTCAAAAGAAAGGAGAAACTGGGATAGGGGAAGGGAGAAAAAAAGGAGGAGAAAACCAAAAAAAATGTATATCTATAAAAGATAGTTAAGATAGTTAGACTACTAATTTCTCTTACTTCATTGAAAAGAAAGGTTTGTGCTAATATTGTTTGGACAATTAAATGCTGATATCTTGTCCTCTGAAAAACTAGTTTAAAGACAACAATATGCAATGTATTAACCATTGTTACCTTCCTATTATCTTGTTTTTAAATTTTGTTTTTTTCTCTTTAAAATAAAAAAATATTTTAAAAAGCAAGGGAAACAGTAAACATATTGACAAAGGAGATCCAATCCAAAACCCCACCAAAGGACAAACAGAGCTTCATTCCCAGCCCAGGAAGAGCTTGCTCCAGGGTTGCGGGTTTCTTGTTTGCTCCTGACTTTGTTTGAGGGTAAAGTGAGCTGCGATGAGAATCTGTGACAATCCAAGCTTTGGTTTCCTCTGAGGGAAACCAACTGCAGAAGCAGAGCATGCGGTAGCGCCTCAAGCTTTTGCTTCAGGCTCTAGGGTGCCTTTCTAACTCCTTTGCCATCAGCACACTGAGTCCTGTCTGACAGCAGCATGCGAAGGCTTGGAGACGTTGCAGGCTTGCTGACTCTGGCCTGTCCCTAAGGAGCTGGCTTCTGGCTTTGACAGCCTTGTTGACAGGGCCATATCCACCCATCCACTGAGCAGGTCTCCGGGGACCTGACTGACACAACCACCTCCTCCTCTGGGGCCTGTGCATCCCTGCTCCAGCTCCATGCACACCCAGATCCCCTGACCATTCTCTCACTGGGACAACAGCATTCATAATCCCGACCTGAATCATCAGCCTCTGAAAGTCAGCTTTTAACCTTGAACCTTTGGAGAAGGTGGGATGGATACCAACCTAGAGAGGAAATTCCACTGGACCGCCATGTGGCCATGAGCAACCTCAAGGAAGATGTCACACCCTGCCAACTCCCCTGCTGTCTGGCATCAGAGCATCACATCTCACAAACACAAGATTCTAGAGACCACCCAGACACCCTATCATGCATCTATCATCTATCTATCTATCTATCTATCTAGCTAGCTAGCTAGCTAGCTAGCTATTTTCATCATCATTATTGATCATCTTTTTTTTCATAACTACAAATTGAACTCAGAACCTTTGCACTTTATTTTGTTTTGTTTTGTTTTGAGAAAGCCTCTCTCTAAGTTGCTAAGTGGCCCAGCACTTAACTGTGCATAACTTGCACTCTTCCTGCCTCAGCCTCTCAGACAGCTGGGATGACAGGTATGTGCCACCACACCTGGGCTCAAAACACTATTTTCACACCAAAAAATCCTAAGAATAGTTCCTTAACTTTTCAGATATCTCCACTGTATTATTATGAAGCAAAATACAGGCATCCTCTGCTCTGTATCTCTAGAGGGAAAACGCTTTTTTATTTTTTTAAGAAAAGCTACAATACTATTATCATGCCTTAAAAAACATTAATTCTTTCATATTATCAAATTACCCATAGTGCATACATTTTTCTGATGTTCTCACAAATGTTATTTTACAGTTCAGTTGTCTGATGTTATTTTACAGTTCAAATGTTATTTTACAGTTCAGTTGTCTGATAATGCAATCTATGCATTGCATTTGATCGATGTATCCCTAATGCTACTTTTCATTTATGAATTTCCTTGCCTCTTATATCTGCAAATAATTGTTTGGTTTTTTTTCTGCAAATAATTATTGACGAATGTGTCAATGTCTGGATTTCTAAAAACTCCAGTGCAACAGTGCTTGGCCTTCATTTAGCCTCCTCTTTCTTTTAAAGCTTTATAGAAGCAGACTCACCATACAATAAATGGCACAGATTTAAATATACACAGTCAGCTTTCTGTACCCAAGGACCTTGCATCTGTGATTTCAACCAGGCACAGATCAAAAACATTTGGGGGAGGGGGATAGGGGCTGGGGATTTAGCTCAGCGGCAAAGTGCCTGCCTGGCAAGTGCAAGGTCGTGAGTTCGGTTCCCGAAGGTACCAGAGAGAAACAAAAAAAAAAAAAAAAAAAAACATTTGGGGGAAAAGACTGCGCCTGAACTGATCAGGTGGACAGTATCCTTCCTCACTGTTATTCCTTAAGCAATATAGTGTGGTGGCGATTTGCACTGCATACCAGGAATCATGCATCACTTGGAGGTGAACTGAAGAATAAGGAGGATGTGCACAGATTCCACGCAGACGCTGCACCCTAACACAGAAGAGATCTAAGCATTCAGATTTTGCTGTCTATGGGGGGTTCTGTAAACAAGCATTTGTGGATACCGAGTGAGGAGCAGCTGTAATTTGGTAAGTGCTGATTTTTGTCTGCCCTGAGAAACCCCAGCACAATCGAGATGATGAACGTATTTGTTGCTGCCACATGCACTTTGCTCTCTGAATGTGGGCATGTACTTCATTTCTGCCTGCCTCAGTTTCTCTGCTGCCCAGTGAGTGCAAGTAAAGGGCAGGTGTGGAGAACCAGTGCCTATTAATGTTCCTCACCTGCCAAAGGCTTCTTCCTCTCTTTCTCTGGGCTTGCTACTCTGTCATGGTAGGAATCAACACGTGAGCCACAGATTTCATCTCTAAATAAAAACCCACAGATGGAAATAAAGGCTTAATGAATTTTTTAGACCTCATAGGTCTTTTCTTTGATAAAATAAAATCAGTTTCCTTGTTGCTTTTTCTCCTGCATTTCAGGAAGGTGTACACATTGGTTGTTCGCTGCTAAAAACTGGCACATTTCTATATAAGTTGCAATCTCATGCATCGAGGATTTGGACACTGGGAAGCACTGCCCTTCTTCAAACCAGCAGGGATGCAGCCACAGCACGGACTCCTGCCTGTGCATCTTTTTCTAACCCAGAAAAGCACACAAGTTGAAGGACCAAGTTCCTCCAGGGAAGAGTGCAAGAGGTGCTGATTTTGAACTCTTAAAGGATGATCCAAAAAAATTCAGTGGGAGAGGGCATAAAACCAGCAAAACTGCAGTAGAGGTAGTGTGAACACGCTCTGGCCCAGGCGGAAACTGGGCATGGGGTGTCAGCAGATTTGTGTCAGTTGCATTAATGAAATGTACAATGACAATATTCCTAGTAATTTAAAATTTTAAGGTATTCAAAAGCCTGTTGAGTAATATATAGACTTGTTCATTTACTGGTCAACGTGCTACCAGGGAGCTGAGAGGTTTAGGAATAATAAAATAAACACTGCATGGCCCCGTAAAGAACTGGTTCTCTCCCACTGGGTGGGAGATGTGTACTAGACCTCACTGTCCCTTCCTGAAAGGGTTAAACTCCAGGGTGGCAAAGACAAAATTCTCAAGGTAATCCAGATGGGAACTAAAAATTTCATTTCATTGCATCCTTGAACTTATCTCCTTTTACTGCAAGTCTTTGAATCAAAGATGTCATGTTGACAATTCTCCATCTGTCCATCCATTGATTCATTGAATCATTCATCTATCCTTCCACTGACCATCCATCCATCCAACCGTCTGACCATCCCTCTGTCCATCTGTCCATCTGTCCATCCGTCCATCCAAGAATCCATCCACTCCTTTATCCATCCGTTCATTTACTCATTATGCATCCATTCTGGGTCTCCTGCCTTCTGGACATAATTCCTACCCCCTAGAAATATTTTCCATCCTTTCCCTGGCTAGTTCATACTCCCCTTCAGGTCTGACTTTAGATCTCCTGTTCTGGGAAGTCCTCTGTGACCACTAAGTCTTGGTTAGCACCCTCCTCCAGACCCCCATCCCTATCTCGGTCAAGTAACCACTATTCCTTGGTACCACCCAGCTGCACTGTGCCGTAGAAGAATAATTGGCTACTTGCTGTCTTTAAAAGAAAAATCCCCAAGTGAATGCCTGAGAACAACTGGTCTACCTTGGCCATCGAGCTAGGGGTTGGTCAGTTGTTTCTGGTGTATAGTAGCCTGGCTGGTCCTGCCAATCTCTCTTGTGCATTTATGGCAAACTGGCAAGTCCACCAGGAGCTGGGCCATCCAGGGTGCACCCCGTGGCTCCTCTCTGTACTGCCTGGTCTTCTACTCCACATCATTCTCAGGCAAGACTGACCCATGGGGGTCAGGCCCCGGGAAGAGCTCCGTGGCGGCTGCAGGGCCTGGCTCAGCACGTGCACTGTGTCCCTCCAGCCAGGCTAAAGTATTGCGTCCAAGTGCCGAGGTTGTCCCAGAATCCAGAGGTCAGGGATGGCCTTTGCTTCCGACAGGAGAAGCCACAGAGAATTGTGACCACTTGTGTCATCCACTGCCTTGGCTTCAAAGCTGAGCTTGGGTCAAAAGCCCTGGGGGCATAGTGAGGGGGGTCATGGACTGAGCAAGGAGAAATAAACTGCATTGGTTGAAAACATTTCCATTTTTTAAAAAAAAAATTAAATTTCCATTGGCACCCAGCACGGAGGGGGTTGGGGAGCTGGGAGGGGAGTCCAGCGTCCCCTGCACAGCCAGGTCTGTGACATCAGGAAGGGGAGGCACCAGGGGAAGTGGCATGGGGTGGCACCAAGGGCTGGAGGGCACCCGGGAACTCACGCCTGGGCCGCTTCTAATTTGTTCCTTAACCCAGGTGAGTTTTAGGGACATCACCGGATTTCCATATTTTTGCTTTAAAGCAATGCTCTTTTTTGTTTTATTGCTTTATCATGTAAAATTTCAGACATTCATAAGTAGACAGAACAAAGTAATGACTCCTCCTGTACCCGAATCTCTGCTTCTGCCACTATCAAATGCACCATCGAAGCCCTCGCTCACACCCCACCACATTGCTTGAGGCAAACCCAGGATCCTTCTTCCGAAACATTTGAATGTGCCTTTCTGAAAGATAGGGAATTGTTGTCAAAACTGTATAATCACAAGACTGTATCCAACCTACAATCATCCCCATAATGAGCCCACACACTGCCTCTGACTGGCGTGTCTGTGTCCTGTTAACTAGAGGCTGACTCCCTGATGTTTTCTCTCTTCCTTTTAATACACTTACAGCTGGCCCTCGGTCTCCACAGGAACTGGGTTCAGGGCTCCCCACAAACTGAAAAGTCCACAGACCTGCTCGAGTTCCTTACATACAATGGCAGAGTTTGCGTGTAACCCGTGTAAACAGTGCTCAGGTGTGCCCGCCCTCCTGTCTACTCTTGTGGTCTCTGGGTGACACCCAATGCCTAGTACAATATTCACGCTGTGGAAATTCTTGTCATACTCTATTGGTTAGGGGCAAATGACAGGAAAAAAAAAAAAAACTCTCTACATGTTCAAGACAGATGGAATTTTTCCCAAATCAGTCCCCGGTTGGTTACATTCTCAGACCCCAGAGATGTGGAAATCAGCTGCACCCAGGAAACCAGATCGGTCCCTGGCTCTTGTAGCTGGCAACTCCTGGCTTCCCCCCGATGAGCTCATCTATCTTCTGCTTCCCTGCAGATAGGTAATTGGATCTAGCTTAGTGGTGGCAAACCTATGGCTCGAGTATTAGGTTTTTTTTTTAAAGACAAAAAAAAGTTACCGTATAAGTTGTTTTTTCTAAACTAAAACCTTAGTATTTGGCCTTAATCTCAGGGTTGGCTCTTTGTGATAAATAAATGGGTTTTGGGTTTGCAGTTTAGGCACTCATCTCTAGAAGGTTTGCCATCACTGATCCAGAGCCTTGATTCATTGATGTTGGAAAGACCACTTCATGGTGGATGTTAAGGGCTACCTCTTCTATTCCGAAAGATTTCTTTTCTAGATTCCATGCCTTAAATTTCTGTGCCTCTATGTCAATCAATTGGTATCTTAAATAAATAACACGGTCACAATCTTTTCCTCCCAATTGATGAACAAATTTGAGCTTTTCCATGTTTCCTTGGCCTGGGCAAGAATTAGAGAGGGAAGAATTCATAGGATTTCTGAAATGCCAAACCAAATACATCCCCCAATCAATTTGGTTTGCAAATGCATTTGGTGTATATGTGATCTGGTTTCCAGCCCTTGGCAATAAAATTTTATGAGATGACCTGGTAAAATGCCCAACCCCCGTGTGAGCAGTAAAATGGTTAAAGAAAAAGAAAACTATAACCACAGGAGGCTTGGACGTTAGCTGAGGGGAAAATGAGAGACATACTTGTCGTCAGAAACCTCGGGCCCCCAGTGGGAGCAGCAGCTGTCTGAACAAGGCCCTCTGTCTCTGCTGGCCATCAGCAGAGTCTCTGAGTCAGCCACCAGCCACTCACAGTCTTACCGTTGGCTCAGAGCTGGAAGCTTAGACATAACGTATGTTTGTAAATATGGGCACAATGCTCAGCTTACCTCATTCCTTTCAGTAGAATCACCTTGCCTGGCTGAACTATATAGCTATGTGAGCTATGGAAGCAATACTTTTTTATTACAAACTTCAAATAATCTTTTTTTTTTTAAAAAAAAGTCTGTGACTTTAGAGCTCATTATAGCACCAAATATCAAGGGAGAAATCGTGAATGAGAGCGGCCCTCTTCCTCTCGGATTCCCAGGGTGGGTCTCACTGGTGAGCCTATATATAGCAGCTTGGAAGAGAAAGCGACCCTGGCAGCAGGCCTGACACTGAGATGCCCTTGGCCCAGCGCCCTGGGCCCCATGTGTGATGGTTATTAGAATCTATCTGGGGGCTTACGCTCTTTCTTTTTTCTCCTTCTTTTTAAAAAACGGATGGCACTGTCTTATTTTTAGGACATAGGAAGAGTCCATGGAGAAGCTGTCCAAGGTTCATTGTATTGCAGCCCTGCCTTTCCTCACTAATGGTGTTCCTCTGGGGGTTTGGGTCTCGGCCCGTCGCTACCTGGGCTGGGTCTGGCATGCAGGGAAAACCCCCACCCCAGCCACCACTCCTCCCTCTTTAGGTTGGGAGGAGCAGACCTAGGGACACTGGCTAGGTAAAGGCGGGGAGCCTACAATCCCCACTCCAAACTGGGTGCTGCTGATAGCTCTGTGAGCCAGACTTGAGGGACCCCAGTCATAAGGGGGGGTCACTGCTTGTCTTTTTCAGGGTCCTCAGCATCTTCAGCAGAGACATTTTCACCTAGTTTGTAATTATTTCCTGAACTTTGTGCTCAGTAGAGAAGAATGGAAAGCAATCCACGTCCTCAAAGTGGAACCAGCACGAGGTCTACCACTGAGATGGCACACGCACCTCCACAGGGCTCCTGCTGCTGACGGGGGTTCCAGGGCTGTTGGGGGGTTGCGGGGCAGGGAGGACCAGCGGGAGGTGCTCAGTGATGCCCCAGACTGTGGGAGAAGGGGCTGCTTGGTCAGCTCACTTTAGGAAAGGGGAGCTTGGTAGCTCTGAGGGCGGGGGTCGCTGGTGTTGCCAGGGCCAATGAGGGCTCCTTAGCTGGAAAGGACCTGCGCTTCTACTGCTGGGTCCAGTCATCTTGAAGCTCAGCACCGGCAGGAAAGGTGGATGTCGCCGGGGACAAGGGGAGCCCACAACTCTGTTTTGGGGTGTTTGAGCACGATGGCTTTATGGACAGAATGTGTCTTGTCAAGCCGGATCCTGTAAAGAGCCACAGGGTCACCAGAGTCTGGCTCCCCTAGATGTCTCTGCAGAATAAAATAGCCATCATGGATGTTCTACCCCACCCCCCAAGTGGGTGCCCAAAACCTCAGAGAGTGTCCTATATGTGCTATGCTTTTTCTTATGTACCTATGACAAAGTTTAACTTACGACTTAGGCGTGGTAGGAGTTTAACAATAATAAAATAGAGTAATTGTAGAAAGAGGCTGTAATAAAAGTGGTCAACATTTTCTGGGGTTTTCCATTTAATTTCACCGAGGAGAGCGAAACCGCAGGTAAGGGAGTCTGCGCGGTGCATTCTGGGGCTCTTCGCTGTGAGACCTGGGGGAAGCGAAGAGTGACCTCTCTCCCTCTGTCCTTCGTGACCCCAAGCAGACATCAGGCTCCTCGGCCTCGCAGCTTTCAGCCTCGAGTTCCTTCGCTGACAGCTGGCTGGCTCTGGCCCTGACAGTGGGAGGGTTGTGGTGCAGAGGACCCTGTCTGGGATATGCTCTCTCCTGTCCCCCGCTGTCTGTGGGGCTCTGGAACTCCAGCCTCCTTATCCCTGCGGAGGCTTCCTGAGCTGTGAGTCCCGGCTGCTTTGCTCCAACCGAATCATGTTGCTCGCCAAGGTCCTGGCAGCTCCCGCCTGTGGTCGTGGACTCCAGAGGGTGTTTCGGGCACGTCTCGTGGGCGCCTTCCTACCTGAAATGCCGTCGGTAAGGGCAGTGACCCTCAGTGAGCAGGGCCAGCTGTGTCCTCTTGGAAGAGAGGGTGCGACGACCCCCTTGCACGCCTGATACTTCCTGTGTCGAGCTCTCGCGGCCCCTCCCTGGGAGACGCCTCCTCTGTCACTTCAAACTGTGTCTCCAGTCATGTCCTTCCTGACTGTGACTGCTCTGGAGCTTCTGTGGGAGGAGGCGTGGAAGAAAGGAAGGCGCGTTAGCGAAAGGGTGCTAGAGTGTGAGAAAGCAGAGAAAGAAAGGAAACAAACAAGCATGCTCTTCGCTGGCCTTTTCAACTCTTAAGTGGGAAAGAGAGCGTTCCTCTTAGTAGAGAATTCTCAGAGATCAAAATGTCTTTTCTTTGAGTGTTTTTCATTAAGTACTAAAATAAAATATGCCTCATTAGTGTCTTTCTGGTTTGTTTGAGACAAGGTCTCACCATGTGGTTCAGGCTGGCCTGGAACTCACTGTGCAGCCCAGGTTGGCCTCCAACTCACTGAGCTTCTCCTGCCTCAGCCTCCTGAGTGCTGGGATTACAGAGTCACCAGGGGATGCTGTGGAGCATGCAAGGGGTGACAGGTTCAGGGTTCCTCTACCTGGTGGCTTCAGTCACCTTTGCTGTCTAGAAAAATGGTCCCTTGGACCAACTTCATGCTTTCCCTAGGCACAGGCTGCAGTGTGCGGGAAGTGGTGTGCCCCTCCCCCCCCCCCCATGCAGAGCTGTGGAAGGGACCTTCCCACGACTGTCCCTTAGGAGTCTGGGCCCTGAGCAGTTAGTGCCCTACGCCCCCCTGAAATAGCCTCGTCACCTGGGCATCGATGATCAGTCAACTTTCTGTACCAGCCTCACTGGGCCCAGGGGTGCCCAGACATTCCGTCAGACATTGCCCTGGGTGAGTCTGTGAGGTTCTTTCTCGATGAAATCAGCTTTGAATGGCTAAGCGGAGTAGAGCAGCTTGCTCTCCCCATGTTGTTGAGCCCCGATCCAAGCAGCTGATGTCTCAGTCCAATACCAGGGTTGAGCCCGGGAGAGAGAGCCGTCTTTCTGCCCCGTTGTGCTCCCACCGCGAGGCCGGCTGTGTCCCGCCCTCGGACTGGGCTGAAA